TGGAACTTGGGGTGCTGGGAAACCAAGCAACCTGCTCACTTCCCTAGTATGTGGCCGTGAGCCTACCAGTGAATGGGCTGAGAATCAAACATCCCATCCCAGCCCCTACCCCCACAACGCTAGCACATGGGAGCCAGAGGTTTGAGCATTTCTTGGGAGGTCGACCATATGCAATATAGCAAATAAAGGGGACTTCCTTCTCTTTGAAGGCAAATATTGTTATCACTGTTTTGCTTTGTTGTGATTAACTGTATTGCTCTATTCAATATTCGTTTTGATAAGTTCTATAATGTTCTGTATTTGTTTTGATTTTTCTATACCTGATTGAAAGGACAACTATTGTGAAGATAGGGAGATATTCTGTGGTACCTATTGCTGTTATCCCAGTAACCTGCTCTGTACCAATTTCACTGCATTGTCTTAACTGGCTTTATTCTGTCTTGTTCTGTTGTATTTTACTACCTTCAAACTAATAAAAAAAAAATACCACATATTACATGAAGCCATTTATATGAAATGTCTAAAACAGGCAAATTCCTACAGACAGAAAGTGCACTAGCAGCTGTTTAATGCTATGCTGAGGCAAGGGGGACCTGGAAGAGAGTCTAGAGGGTAATGGATTTCTCAGCAGAATAAAAGTGGTAAGTAAAAACTCATTGAAATATATACTTTAGTGAACTGTATGAGGTACAATTATATCTTAATAAAGCTGTTGAAAAATAAATGCTCAACAAATATGCCAGTACTGTGCTTTTAAAACATTACTCTGAAGAAAGGACAAGTCAAGAAAAAAAAAAAAAAAAGAAATCCTTAACTTTTACTCATACAAAGACTGTAAAGATAAATCACCCATTAACGAAACTTGGAAGTAGGTACAAGGTAGTGAAAGAACTCTGAAAACTGGCAAGAAGACAGGCTGGGCTCCTAGAGACTTCAAAACTTGAAGAACAGCAATGAACAGAGACTGAGAGCCCATACGTGCTGGGTGGGCACTGGAGAGGCCCAGGCCTGAAACAATGAACAGACATAGGGAAGAAGATGGGAAAATCTGTCCTTTCCAGCTACCAGACTGGAGAATGAGAAGCACAACAGAGGCCACACCAGGAGCTCCAGCCCTAGCTCTTCAGCTATATCTCCAACCAGTCAATCTGCTTTTCCTAGCAGCTTCAAAATACTTGTGCACCAACCCAGCGGTGTTCCACAACCAGGACACTGACTATGGGAGGATCAGCAAAAAAGCCCTAGCAGAGCCTTCCAAGCAGTGACAAATCTACCTGATCCCTGCTCAGTATTGAAGGCATCAGTAAGCGGGCAGATCCACCTGCCTCAGCTACATCTGGGGTCTTCTGGCCTTGACCCGGGGGCAGAAAGTATTTGGGTAAAAGAGAAGTGGCACATTACCTCTAGAGGAACACAAATTTTAGCTGACGGAATTTCTCACCTGAGGAAGCAGCATGATATTTCTTAGCACTAAAAGAAAAAACTGTCAACCAAATCCTAGATTCCAAAATAACTACCCTTTAGGAAATAAGGCAATGTAAAATTCTTATGCAAAAGGGAACTAAGAAATTTGTTGCTAGCACTCTTACACATTAAATGATGCATAAAAAGAAGCACTTGAAACAAAGAAAATAGAGAAGATGGCTGGGACATTCAGAGAGGAAAGAACAACGTAACAGCTAAAATTGAGGTAATAGACTATCCTTCTATGAATTTTATTAATCAAATTTTGTAATTGAAACACAAATTTTCATACAATCTGATACACTACTCAATAAATATAAAATAGTTAAATCTTCCTATAATCCACAGGATACTGTCTAAGGGTGAATTAAAATTCAACTATAATACAGTATATCATGGAGTAATAAAAAGAAATGACCTATAAATACACATAACAAGTTAGTAATCCATTTTGATGATACATACAGACACACATACACAGGTACACATACATATGTGCATTCATTATTGGTAAAATCCGAATAAACTATAGTATTTGATTGATGGTAAACAACCGGTTTTCTTGGAGGGGGGCGTGAGTAGTACAAAAATAATTTAATAAAAATCATGGTCATTCAAATCTGAGCAAGTTTCCTTGCTTGGTAATGCTTTGATCCACTGTCAGACATCATACACATCACATGACTGCACTATGAGAGAACACTTGGAAGCCCATGCCTAGGTTCTACAAGACTTGTGTTATGGATTAAAAACTGGTGGTCAACTTAATGCCAGCTGGATTACATCATCATGGTGCTGAGCATGAATGTTCCACCTGAGGAAAGTTGCCAGCATAAATGGAGACTTGGAGAAGGAGATGCTATGAGTTGAGGTGTTGAGGTGTTGTGGGTTCTCCTACATGTCACTGTTTGAGCCGTTGATTCTGGAGAAGCTCTGGTCCTCACATCGAGCACTGCCTCCTGGCTCCAGAGGGGAAGACATGTGCTGCTTGGTCTCCAGGATGAACTCATCACACTGGCTTCCTCGCATGTACTTGACTGTGCTTATCGTCAGAGGAGCTCGGGACCTCTTTTTCACTGAGGATGGTTGTGTTGCTTTTCAGGACAGCCCTGGTCTTTGTTGTGAGTGTGACGTCTCGGCTCCAGCATAGAACCCTAAACCTACCAGCACAACTCCTTCCCCCCACTGGCATAGCCTTTCTGTCTTCCACTACTGATCTTTGGGCCTTCCCAGCACAGATTCATAGAAGAGACTGGTGTAAGTCCTTCTTGTGGGCTCTAGACCTCCAGGTGGACTCATGGGAGGCATTGTCATGAGCTCTGGGTCTTCATCTGGCCTCATACGGGATAATGCTGTGGGATTCAGGCTCTTGGCTAAATATTCTATGTCTTTAGTGGTGTGGATAGATTTCCTGCATTTTCTTGTTGGTGACCATCATAAAGTAATGTTATAAACTCCGTGTCCTGATTCTAATTGTTCTCCTCACAACCCCTGACTACAACATCTTGTTCAATGTGTCTCACTTTTCAATGAATTTTTTTAATACTCTTTTATGTAATGAATCTGAAATGTTAAGAACAACAGGTTTTGAGTTCTGTGGGCCCCTTAATGAATCATAAGTGCCCGAGGGTGGTCACAGGGCATTCTAAAATACCTCCCTTGAAAGACAGGGATTGTTTGGATTTTACTGCTCTTTTTACTTTGCCAACATTTGGCAGAGTTTAAAGCACCTGGCCAATCCCCATAGATTTGCTATGAACAAAATCTGATCTAGTCAATCATGACCCAGCAGCCACTGAAACCGAAATGTCAAGCAGAGAAATACACATCTATGATATGTCTGACACCTATTTCATCAGTCCACTTTGATTTCATCAAAGTCCACTTTGCCTAGCCCTAGCAATGGACAGGGCCATGCCAGGAACTGCCAACTGGTTGAGAATGTGGCAAGGGAAGCTTGTTTTCCACCTCCAAGCTCCCAAAGGTATTGGGTGTTAGTTCTTAGCAATTTTCTTTACAAAACCTCCTATCACTACCGTCTCAGAAACTGTGTACAACGCTTGCTACAAAGATAAATCTGCCACATGGCTATAGAAGAGCTTCTCCACCAGCATCTCTGAGCTAGGATATGGTTTCCTGTGACCTAGTCCTGTACTAAGAAAAGGCTCTGAAGACTCATCACACTAAGGCATGGTTCACATATGTGAGATGTTAGGTTAAGGATAATGTATTGGTCTTAAAATGGCTCACAGGCAGAGCACTGGGTAATATGAAGTTGGAATGTCTCTAATTTGCCATTTCTTTTCCTTTTATGATACTGGAAACTGAATCCAGGGCCTTTTCTCAGTTACATCCCTGGTCTTTTCTTCATTATTTTGAGAGTCCCTCAAGGTGTTAAGTTACTCAGGTGGGGCTCACACTTGTGATCCTTCTGCCTCAGCCTCTCAGAATGCTGGGATTACAGGCATGTATCACAATGCCTGGCTCTACCATTTCCTCAAATAAAACTGAGTATCTCAAATTTGTACAGACTGTATATGTGGAATGCACTACAGACTGGCTTAAGACATAGGTCAAATCCCTACACTGTGGGATTTAATGGGCCAATGAAAATTTTCTATCACAAATTAACATAAAGACTTTGTTTTGAGAAAATCTGAACATCTGATTGATAAGTCACACAGATTCTCTCGGGCTTATTACATCTTGTGCTGGAGAACAAGAGGAGTCAGAGAAGGAGTGCAATAGAACCAAATGGACCTGCTGGCTCTCCTTTCCTCTCATTAAAGGCAGCTTTCTTGGTGTTTGTGGGTGTGGTGTATGCGGGGTACACATACACTTTTTAAAATAAAAGGAACATGTCAGTTTGAAAGCATTCCCTCTGGAAATGCTGATGCCCTTCTTATTAAATGCACGTTAACTGCTTGAAATCCCAGGCACATATCCAAGTTCATTTCCTTTCTCCTCAGGCAGTTTCCACAACCCACCGCATTTTCATTTTAACAGTCCTCATTACTGGTATCATTTCATACCCGGGAGTTTGCTCAAGTCGACATCAATCTTGCCAATCCCTGTGTTTGTTGACACAACACAGTCTAAATCCACAGATACTAAATATAAAAATTTAAAATTCATTTCTTATTTGATATGCCCCCAAGTGATAGTCCTGTCAGTGACACGGCATGCGAGAGACGCCATACATAGGGCAGTTTATGCAGTTCCATTTACTTCAATAACATGTTGTCCATTCTCTCACTGCCCAGATGCTCTGCAACTTCTCAAAAATATGTGGTGCCTTAAAGTCACCTATTCTGGAGCATATCCTTACCCCAAAGCCATCTTCTTATACATGCTTGATTACTACTTCATTTAATAAACAGCCCTTTACTACAAATAACTCTTTACTAAGCAGAAAAGGGGCAAGCTTTTCCTTCAGAAGGAACAAAAAAAATTTCATTCAGCATAACACTTCCTCTTCAGTTAAGCTTTTCATGTCTCTGCATGAGTCTAAACTAAGAAAGACAGCAAAATCTTACCTGATTGGAGAACCTCATGCTCACATTACGTTGGTTCTGTAGTGGGACATAGCGCTGAACAGGATCAATGTCTTTAGGACTGATTAATTCATCCACTGGGAAAAAAAGTAACACAAGTAAATAATTATAGGCAGCTAAGTTAGATAGAAATTAATATATCTACAGGGACTAGGAGTGAGCAGAAAAGAACCAGAACTGTCGCAGGAGGCACATCTAAAGACCAGGCCTCGAGATAAAGATGCAATGGCTAGGCCCCTGTGCCTCCCCAAGGGATAAGCAGTGACTCCGGATTACACTGTAATTAGCATCAGTAGAGAGACCTCATCTCTAATACCAAAATGAAAACACCACAAGAAAATAAACTGAAATCCTTTATAAATATGGACACAAAATTTTTAAAGAAAAATGCCAGCAAAAGAAAGCTAGTAATGTTAAAAAAAAAAAAAAAAGGATTATATACCACGACCAAAGATTTAGAACACAAATTTAAGGATGGCCAAACATCTGAAGGTTAATTATTATAGTATATCAATAGAACAAAGGACAAGAACCTATATTCCCATTCAGTACACACAAAAAAATTACATTGTCTCAAGGTAAACTTTCCAGTCATACAAAAAAAAAAAAATCATTAAACAGGGATAGAATCTAGGGATAGAAGACAGGGCATATCTATGAAAAACACCTACAGCTAACATCACGTGCAATGGTGAAAGAATGGATGTTCTTCCCCAAAGATCAGGACCGAGACATAGACGTTCATTTTTACCACTTCTACTCCACATTGTACTAGGGGTTCCAGTCCAGCAAATTAGGCAAGAAAAAGTAACAAAAGGGATTCAGATAGAAAAGAAAGAAGCTACCATAATTAAGACCATATGCTCTTAACATAAAGGTAAAGCAAAGAAATGACCTATCATAGTACAGAAATAAACTATTATATTAGTGGTTGATTTTGGGGGGTACTGGGAATCGAACTCACAACTTTGTGTTTGCTAGGCAGGCACTGATGCCACTATATCCCAGCCTCTATTTGATTTTTGATAAGTATGATAAAATAATTCAATGGGTAAAAAAATACATGATTTTTCTTCTCCAAATAGCACCAGGATAACTAAATATCCAAAAGCAAAAGATGAAGATATCATATACAAAAATTTTCCTCAATCATATACAAAAATAAACTCAACAAATAAAAAAAATTGAACTTAAGAGCTAAACTGTAAGACCACATGTGCTGGTTAAAGACTGTCAACTTAACTGGAGTAAGAGATCCCCAGGTTTGGAGAGTACTAACATTATCAGTGGCAAGCAATCACTGGCAAGCACGCAGCTGAATGGGTGACTACATGTGGGACCTGTTTGGAAGAAGTAGGTCACAGGGTGTGACCTTGGGACATATATCTGGTGCCATTTCCCTGCTCTCCACTTTCTGGCTGCCACTAGCTGAGCAGTGTTCTCTTGCTGGGCTATTCCCTTCTAGTGTTTCAACCTTAAGCCAGTCTACTGTGGACTGAAACTTCTGGCACCCTTAGCCAGTAGAAAACTTTCTTCCCTCCCTTGTGTTGTGGGTATAGGATGTTTTGTCCCAGCAATGGGAAAGCAGACTAACACACTGTTATGAGTAAATCTTTGTGTCTGGGACTTCCGGGAGAACATGGCGGATAGATAGCAGCAGCTTCAGAGGCTCTCTAAGAAACCACACTTAAAATCCAGCAATGGTGCCAGGCAACAAATCCTAAGCAAGGGGAGATATACTTTGCCGACCCAGGAACGAACTAAACTAAGAGAAACCAACTGGAAATGCAATCCCGGTGATATAACAGGAACAGAGAAGGTCTCAGCTGCGATTTGAATTTCCTGCAGCCACTGCTGTGTCCCAATCGGCACGGCAAAGAGAGAGGTGCGAAAGCTCTGAGAGTGGGAAGCGGTGAATGGAGTTGAGAGCGGGACTGGCCGGGAGCCCTGCATCAGCCTACAGTGAGTGAGCGGATCTACTTCCATAGAGTAGGAGGCTTCAGCAAAGGACATACTAGGACTGGGCAGACTGGCCAGAGCAGGACGCTGCAGTGACTTTAGTCAAATATTCCCCTCTCAAGCAGGACTGGTGGGGAGTGCCTGGCCTGCATGATGCCACTGACTAAGACCCAGTAGGCTAGCCCAAACCAGGTCCCAGTGCCTGGAGGTGCACCCTAGCAGTGAAGCCTTCAGTAGGTTGACCTGGAGGGGTGGGCCCAGCATAAGCTGCCCAGGTCTGTGTCTCCTTAGTACACTGCAGTGGGTGGGAACACCTAGCCGGCACAATTCAAACAAACTGTAACCCAACAAGGAAAGAAACTGGGCCTCCTATATAGCTTGTATAAAAGAAACAAAAAATATGGGAAGAGGGAGTAACAAGAAAGGGTCCTCAGCCCCAAATCCTGAGAAACATGCAATATCAGACACGGCACCAATAGACATAAAGCGCTATCTCCAGAGCCTCATAGGTGAATTCAGCAATGAAGTTATTAACGACCTGAAGCAAGATATAAGTAGAATAGTTAGAGAAATGCTAAGCACTGCCCAAGAAAAAACAGATGGTGGAATGGAAGAACAGAAAAAAAGGGGAGAATTGTTTGATGGACAAAATAGAGAAAACATAGAATACGAGAAGCAGGTTTAAAGAGATTATCAGGAAACTAAAATCTCTATCAAAAACTGGCATAACAGCTTGAAAGAAATTAAGGATAGATTATCTGAACTGGAGGGCAGATTTGTAAAATGGGAGCATGAAATGAAAAACTTCTTAAAAATAACAAAAAAGCAAACAGCAATAATACAAAGGCTAGAAGATGATAAGAGGATCTACGAATTAAGAACATAAAAGAAGGACACAAACAAATGGACTACAAAAGCTATTCACAGAAATAATCCAAGAGAATTTCCCTAATTTAGCAAATGGTAAAGATACTCAGATGTATGAGGCATACAGGACCCCAGCCACCTACAACCCAAACAGAGCTACACCCAGGCATATAATAATCAAAATTCCAGAAATCCAGTATAAGAACAGAATATTAAAAGCCATCAGAGACAAGAAACAGATCACTTACAAGGGAACACCCATCAGAATTACAGCAGACTTCTCGGCACAAACCATCAAATCACGAAGAGCGTGGGGGGAAATAATTCAAGCTTTGAAAGATAATAACCTCCAGCCAAGATTGATATATCCTGCACAACTGTCCCTAGAAATTGATGGAAAAACAAGGTGCTTCCAGGATAAAGAGGAACTAGGGGAATTTGCAACCACCAATTCAACTCTACAGAGAATACTGCAGATATTTTAAAAAAGGAAAAATCCAGAAATAGTGGCAGAGAAGCCACAATGAATGGAGCAGAAAGCGAAATGAAGAAGACAAACTGACAACAAACGACAGAAAAAGAGCTCAACAGAAATGAGGCAGAGATGATCGGATTATAGGAACAGCTATTTTGGAGAAAACAAGACATCATAATAGCTAGTGCTGATTTAGTATCATCTTGTTTTGAAGTCCCATCAAGCTTTTATTCTTCGGTCTCCATCGGTCTTAAAAGGTTGTATCGTATTGGATGTTATTATGTATGATAAGTAAAAACTTTTATAGACAAGAAGATTATACAGAAACCATTGTTTTAAATACCGTGTAATAATGTCATTCTCTTGAATGGTTTTATAGTGTCTTGATATGTTTGGTGCTACAGTATACGAAGTTATACTCAAAGATTTCAAGGAAAGAGACACTATGGTAACTATTTTTATGTCAGGATGTCTTGTGGTGAAACACTATTTTGCTTAAATGGTTATGTTTTGACTTGTGCTGTTCTGTTGTTATGCCCTCTTTTATCTCAATCCACCCTTTTTTAATTATTTACTTTTTTCTTATCTTTTTAATTAAGGTAAAAATAAATAAAAAAATAGCAGGATACATTATAGTAACCTACTTTGATTTCCTATTAACTTGATTTGAAATCCTGTACTGCCCTCACAATCTTGTTTTGACTGATTTTCCCCTATTCTGCTTTGCTTGATAGTACCAAGTTGGAAAGTATAGGCAACAACTGTGAAGACAATAAGATTCATTATGATGCCCCTTCTGGTTGACTATTATCTTCTTTTAAAGTCCTGTAATGTCTCCAATGCTTTGGTTTTATTCTTGACTGTTTTGTTCAATTTTATTATAACAGGCAATTCTTCTTAAAATAGCAAGAGGAAGTATGGTAACCATTGTTGATCACCTTGTATTTTGTTTTTACATTACCAATTATGTCCACCCTTTTGATGTGACTGAGTCTGTTCTGATATGTCACATTTGGTTTTACTCTCTTCAAAAAAAGTAATAAGAACTGTGGGAGTAATAAAACCCAAAATGTGTAATTGTCATTGTACAAAAGAAAAGAAAAGAAAGTGCTCTAACGGTTATAACTGCATATATGTTTAAGTGTATAAGATAGATAACCATATTACCGAGTTTTTTTGGATCACTGAACAAAACTGTTTGCACTCTCACTGTTTGAAAGTCCACTTTATATACTTCAGTTTTGTAACTTGAACAACTATTTCTAAGATGAGAATATGTAATCTATTCACTAGTGATTTCTTACTGTTTATTTTTAAAATTTTGTATTACTTGTACCCTTTTTCTGTTTTTTTCCTTTTTCTCCTTAAATAAAAAAAATCTTTGTGTCTATGACATAGACAAAAGTACAACAAATACAGGTGACAAAAAGATATTAAATTTCATAAAAATTATAATTTTTTTGATCCTCAAAGGGTAATATTAGGAAAGTTAAAGGACAGTCCACAAAATTGAATGGAAGAAAATATTTGAACAACATGTGTCTCGCAAGGCAGTTGACTTTAAAACATATTGAAAAAATTACAACTCAGTAATAGACAAAAACCAAATTAAAAATAGTTAAATTTGGTACCATGGCACATGCATAGAATTCCAGCTAGCTGGAAGGCTGACACAGGAGAATGGCAAGTCAGGATCAGCTTGGGCAGGTTATTGAAACTATCTCAAAGTAAAAACAGCAAGGTTGAGGGTGCAGCTCAGTGGTAAAGTGTTTCTGG